CCCCCACCTGACACTTCACACCTCAGTTTCATATGTTCCCTATTCCCATGATGTGTTTCCCCCATCCACCTGATACTACATGTTCTTTTGTTAATAGTGATTTAATATTTGTTGAGTCATGTGTTGGATATTTTATTGAAATCCATTTTTAGCAAGTTTTGCAAAGCGAGTTGGAAAGAAGAGGTACCAAGTGAAGCTAGCTTACCCAGCTATAACTGGTAACCCCGAGTTTGAGCTGATTTACAGGGCTCAGTAAGTATATTGTCAATCTATATCACTGATGGTTGGTGAGCTCATCATTAATCTTTTGCATTGTCTTTTATGTTTGTTAGAAGTGAGCACAGACTGGAATGGCATTTAGTAAAACAAAGAGTAGCTAAATACAATTTTTTTGAATACTTTTTCTGTCCTGTTTCTGTCACATGATAAGGTGGTGGAAACACTGGTGTGTGGTTCTATATATAGTGCATGTCAAAAGACAGGGGGCTAGTAGATATCTAGTAGATATCCTTTTCAGTTGCATTGCTCATTGGTATAGCTTGTCACAGTAAAAGGGTAAAATAAATTACATTGTTCCAATTTCGGAGTCACACAAGTCAAATGTGTGAAAACATAGAAATTACCTCTAAAGGACTGTAATACAAGTGTCTGAATTTATAGTAATTGGCTTGTAATGTCTAGCATAATTGGCTATCTTTGTTTAAATAATTACTTTTAAACCCCTCAATAACTTTTAGATCTGAATTGGAGTCATTGTCGGATTACTGACATAATGCTGTTCAGACCCTAAAAAGCAAATTATAACACAGAATGCCTTTACAAAGACCATGGTGATTGTTGCCTAATCAGATAAGACATGTAGGCCCCAGTGACTGGTGTGTCATTTTAGACATAATAGCACTCATGACAACAAACTGTTTTGTTACTTTCAGACAGAACTGTTTAGAATTCTACCCAATATTTATGTCAGCATTCTGGACATCTGGCATTTTCTTCCATCCAGGTAAATATATGTCTGTTAAACCATCAAGTTTACTACCTTGTATTTCTGTCAGCATTCTTGATATTGATGTGCATTAAGCATGTAGACTATATTCCATATCGGTAATAGGCTAAACATAGACAATGGTATATAATACTTCATACTTTATTGATATTTTTGCGATGAATATTTTGAAGTTAAGAATTTACAAGACAAAGAATACCTATAAAAAGATTCAATCAATACTATGTAACAGTGATTATTCAGGTCATGTGATATAAATGTATGATAAAATTATATCATTTGATGGTGTATATTTCAGCGCCTACCTTTCTTGCTGGAGTGGTTTACCTGTACGCACGTGAGAAATACTTCACAGGTTACTCTAAGAGTGTGGAAGGAAGGTAGGTTTCACTGCTACACATGATGTATAGAGCTAAGTACTGATGAAGACATTAAGTGACTGACCACTTCAACACCTGTAGTGTTAAATATATCTCCAACAACATATAGTTCATCTAGAAATGCTGATCAGGCTAAGTGTAAAATGAAATATTGTTTGTTTCTCCTTTACCCACCAAAATATCCCCTACCCAAAATATTTCATTGACATTCCAGAGAGATTATGATATGGGTCGGTAAAGGAAACAGACAATAATTTAATGTAGGCCTAATCAATGCAAGCCAACCTACATTGCAAGCTCAAAGAGTGGTTGTTTGACTATTCCGTCTTTGCGTATTGCAGAGTTATCTTCTCTTGAGAACAGGTATTGATTGTAACATAATTGGTTTGTGTGAGAAAATTACGTCGTTTTCTCAAAAGTTGATGACGTTACTCTCACAAACAAATGATGTAACAATCAATACCTGTTCTCAAGAGAAGATAACTCTGCAATACGCAAAGACAAATAAGAGATATATGTAAATGAAATAAAAATATCTTTAAAATGAATTGGATGATGTAATGTAATTTGTTACCAGATAATAGTGATGTCTTTAAATACCTTAAAGATGTTTGCAGCTGAACTAAATGAAGAAAAAAAGATAAAATAAAGATATTTAAAAAAATTACCAGAAGTACCAGGTTTTGCCAGAGACTTTAATGGTACCAATACGATAATTATATGATTACCATTATCACTGTTGTATAATATTTGTTTAAGTCCTTTTCAAAAGAGGTTAAGTATTTCAAAAAATCATATATGTATTTTACAGAATTATAGATGTTTGAAATTTCAATATTAGAAATAGAAATTACAAAAGAAAACAGAAGATTCTAACTCATGACCTTTAGAGTGCAAAGCACACTATATCAAAGTTGCCATCTAGGAATTTCAAATGTACAGCATCAAAATGTGTGTCCTAGTTATTGACCTAAGAAAAGAAATTGACAGGGGAGGTTACTCTTAAGCAGAAATCTCCTTTTGATTCACTGCTCTATGTCAGAGAACGGAGAATACCCCGGCCAACTCTTAAATGCTAAGTTTATTTTGAACACAAACAGTAATTGAAAACTTATTTTATGAGCTTTCAAAAAAGTCTGTTTCCTTGATTTTTTTGTCAATTAAAGAGTGCAAATGCCCAGTACATGTAATTATAACTGATATATAGTGGTACTCTTTATTTTTAAGTGTTTGTATAATTATGTCATTGGTACTACTCCATGATCTCTTTAAGCATGTGATTTTCTAATATGTAATAAATATATCAAAACATACTATTACTATAAAGAGATAACTGCAAGTATCAAAACAAACTTCAAACCTGGACATAGCTTTGTCACAATTCATTGGAAAACTGATATATTGCAATACACTGGCATGTTGTGTTGTATCACATTACAAAATTGAAATATCACAATAGTTTTCAAAATCTCCAATATTTTTTATGTATCTGCTAGTTGTTAAGACTTTGCAAAAAATCAAAAATTCTAACAGATATGCCAATAGCCAAAAACTAGCTACTACTATACTTGTGGTTGGAATCAGTTGAATTTTCATAACGGATGGATGCTTTAATGAAAGCTTTGTGATCCACAGATACAAAAGTGTATAAAATTAACACTCCAACAACTTATAATCGCTGTTCAAATTGAGCACCTTTTTCTTTTGGGAAAATTTATGGATACATATCACAAGACATTCCTTTCTCAATTGCGATATATTGGTTACACAAGCCTTGCGACACCCCAACATGGACTATTGAAAATGGCTTAAAATTGTCTAAATCTAAAACCATATGTGTGCATTTCTGTCAACTCCTAAATCTTACACATTGATCCCTGTTTAAATTTTAACAAGATATTCTTTTATTCCAATAGTTCAACACACAGAATTCCTTGGACATATATCTTATTCATTTAATATCGTTTTCACCTCCTTCAAAATAAAGGCATTTCTAATTCTCTGTTTATCTGTATCAATACTAATATTGTAATTCTAATGTATCATCAATGAAATATTTTGCTTTGAATTGAAAAGGAATTGCTGCCCTTGACTAATATAACTCCAGTCTCTTATTTTGATTCCCAACTCTGCCTTATAACTCCCATCGTTTTATTTATGGTTTCCGCTCCCTAACTTAGTTCCTTTCCCTGACAGATATTTTCTAGTTCCCTACAGAGTTACTACCCTTGACTTTTGTCTCTCCTCTCCTAACTGCTGATATCCTAATTTGCTTTCTTGGTCTCCTTTTTCCTGTACTCCAACCTCTGTCTTGTTACCTGGACTAAAATCTAGATTTCTGTTTCCAGAACTATGAATTAGGGTTTTAATGCTATTATGCAAGATGTGTTAAATATGCAGACAAAAACATTTGAAAAAAACATCATGACCAAAATTTCAGGCATAAACCATTTTGATTCACCCCGAAATCAACATTTTGTTGACTCATGTATATCGTTTTATAGGTTTAAAATCTGTGTTCGTCATTTGAAGAACTGCCGGTCTATTTACCCCAAAACTTACCACATTCCTCTCTATGAAGTTTTCAATGCCTTGTTATAATCTGTACTCTTATGCACCACCCCATTTGCCAACGGGATTAAATCCCAGATATGCCCCATCTTATTCCCGGGTTCGTGTCCTTTCCCTCCCACTTGGTCCCAGTATGTTCGGTTACAACTTTGATGTGACCCTAATTTGGTACCCGTTTACAGGATGTCTGGCTTCCGCTGGAGTGTGCGAGGCCTGATGTCGTTGCTGGCTATGGGAGGAGTGGGACTTTGTCACGCCGTACTGAAACAGTATGCTGGGATCAACGTGTACGAGCAGTACCTACAGCAGTATCTCAAGTTTTAACGAGGCCATGTGATATCTACTTACTTAGGAATTTACTCAATATCAATCCATGCTTAAACGTTAACCACAGGGCCACGTTACAATCACACATATGCTATACTGATACTGGTCACAACACACATAAACATACATTGTTTATGTGTGTTGTGACCCGTATCAGTATAGCATATGTGTGATTGTAACGTGGCCCTGTGCGTTAACGTTATCATGATTCCAAAAGACAAGAGCATATTTTTTCAAATTTTCAAACCAGTGCCATGTGATAATGCCTTGTCATTGGGATGGGGATAAGGAGAGCACTATATGATATCTAGATAATATAACATTTGATTAGTGCCAAACAACTTTGTACAGAACTCAAAGTAATCTTAGGCATTCCTTCATTGATCAAGTCTTGCCGTGTTTTGTTTATATGGTAATATTCATGACATTTGTGTTTACATTCAAATTTTATGTAAAAAAACTGTCAATAAAATAACAGTACAATGTTGTATGTTTGTTATATTATCAAGAGTTTACTCAAGATAGGTTTAACTGCTCTTTATTATAAACACTAATAATAATATAACGAATTGAGAAATATTATGCTATCGACTTCTATTATTTTATAAAAAAAAATATACTTATAAAATAAAACAAAATTAATATATTGATTTTCAACATATGTTATGTTATCCAAATCCTGAAAATCATTGTCATTCATGATGGAAAACCATACGTTTCCCAATTCTTACTCAAGTCACTCAAATAATTCTGTCAGGGGTGTCAATCCATTGTCACTGATAAACCAATGACAATGATATCATGGATTGGTACATAATGTACCTGTTTATGATGACATCGATATAGTTCATTTTAAAAACATATATTGGCTTTCTTCAAACAAGAATCATAAAAAGAAATTCATTGAACAAGCATCATACAGTATAAAACATCCTACAGGCGCGTAGCTACCATGTAAGCCAATAAGCCCGGGCCCGGGCTTGCACATGATTTTGACAAGTATAGGTTTTCATCACGTTTTTTTTCTTCTTGCTGATACTATAAAGTGGTGTTTAAGTTTTGAATATATAGTATACATATGTAATTCCTCAGATATGATACATTGTTAATAGTTAGTGGGGCAACCTCGCTTCTCGAAATGACCAACAAATAACAGGAGCAAGTATAAGGAACCAGTTACAAATCACAAACAGAAGACGAGACTGAGTAAAGGTGACAGTGGGGGTAACCTCGCTTCCCAATTAACTCGGATCAGATTATGAGAAAGACAAACTCAATTGCATGTTCACTAATGCAGAAGTATCAAAGGCATTTATCAAGATTAGATAAAAACAAAACAATGTATGTATGGGGGGTGTACAAAGCAATACCGACGGTTAATCTTCAGAATTACACTGGATCCACGTAAATAGGTATATAGATATACAAAACATAGGATTTTTTTCTTGCGGATTAAAACGAGAAAACAGACATCAAGACGTGGTAAATGGCTCCTGAGACGTTCTAGAAAACAAAATTTTCATGGGGGAGATCCCCCAGACCCCCATTAAAGGGGGGGGGGGGGAGAAAACCCCCTCCCATACTCTCCCCCTGCTCGTGCTTCGGGGGCGGGGGGCTGCCTTCGGCAACCCTATATCGGGCTTAGACATGGTAAAGGGGCTAGCTACGCGCCTGTCCTACATAAATTGTAATATGAAAACTAGTTTTGCTTCATGAACATGAAGTGAGTCATGGTAAGACTCCGTTGTGTACATTTATTTTTATTACAATGAACTCTGTATCTATCCCCGCTAAGTAACATTGTTCTTCGTTGCTTATCGTAAGACGACAACAAAACACATCAGAAAGGTATAAACCTGAAGTACTTGTCTTCTATTTACGCGGAGACTGAGAGTCATTATATACCTCAAAGATGATACTATGATTTAGTACAATTTACTTCTGGCTTACTCTATTACCAAATGTGAAGTTGCAAACACGTGTGTGTGTTACGTTCCTCTAGTTCCTTCTGTTAGCAGTATTTGTAACATTGATTTGACAATATAAAGATATTTTACTGTAGGATTGGCGAGGCAGCATACCGATAAAATTGATCGCTTTTTGCGGAGCTCCTCGGTAATCTTCAAACGCAGGTATCAGTCTTGCGATAGTTATTGCATTCCATTTTTTTTTTATAAATTCAAAACACCAATTCATTCATTTGGTGGTTGTTCAATAACGCTTGTATTCTAGATGTATTGATTTACCCTGGTACGTAGCCGTTGTACGGAAAATGTTAAGGTTGTTTTCTCTCCTTCTCTCCTTTGTTATTGTATGCATGTTATAATTGTGTTGGTTTATTGAATAGAATAATGTTCAGTTTAAAGACCTTAGTAAAACACGGTACTTCGTAATCTCTTCCAAATCATACCAAACAAACCTGACCTAAAACCAAAGACTGATCCGGACAAGACACTATAATACAAGTTCCATCGTTCTTCATTTTAACATCTACAATAATGGGTGAGGTTTTACTTGTTGATGCTAGAGAGACAGAGTGGAGTGCTAATTAGAAAGCAGCAAGTTTTAATTCCTTGAACTGCTTCACTTACCTCTTCGTATATTAAAGGTTGTGAATATGAAAATTGATGGTAATATATTATAGAGCTTAAATTTCCACCGGAGATGAGAAATATCTACACCGATATTATTAGGCCGTGTTAAACTTGTAAGAGGTCCGACACAAAACAGGAGTGATATCTTCACATTGGAAACATTGGATGTTTCTTTAAACTGTGATATACATATATATAAATACTATTGTATCAAAAAGTGATAAATTAAATGTCGTCGAAAGAATAGCAACGGAAGTAGATAGAAGCGGTGCCAAAGCGGAGGTTGGCGAGGAAGGACAGACAAGGATATTGGGTCGAAAAAGCGTTAGCATGAGCAAAATTGACTCGAGGTTATAATAATTAGCTGAGATGTGTACGTACAGTACATGCCTTAATAGTTCGCGTAATGGTTTGATATCGACCTTTTCGAAAAGTTATTCGCAGATAACCAAAGATAAGCTTTTCCTAAACAGTTATCCATTTAAAGATTTTCAACAAAGTTTGATAATTTTCTAGAAAATCGCATTTTAGAATCCTCGTACCACTTCCAAAAGCTGTAGCTATCACATGGAAATATGTTTGCATGACTATAGCTTCGATAAATCATTATGAAAAGAAAACCATATCGTACGCGCCTTTTATGGAAAATAATAAATATGAAATAAATATAATCAGCAGCAGCGTTCTGATTGTAAAACATTCAGCAAGGCTTACCGGTCTTGGTACATGATACATGAATATTCGATAATATAGAACATATAACTTTAGCTCCCAAATTTATGGAGTTATGTCCCTTTTGCTGATATACATTGTTTGAGCTACTCATTCTAAAATAATGTTCTTATGTGATTGATCCTCTTACACAGAACCCTAGCAAAATATAGCAATTTTAGTAAACCTCCCCTATATATCCCCACCCAATAACCATGGAGATACAGTTATGATGCATGGGCTGGGGACTTAGTGTTTGGATCAAATCATGGAACGGTTAAGACCTCAACAACGGTTGAGACCACAACTCTTTGACCATATCCGTGCTGGCTTGGCATTAAAGGACGAATACACTCATGCTTTTATGATAGCCTGCTGGTTATGCTGATCCCTTAGGATTTAGTCTATTGGTCATTGCATTTGCATGGAAATGGTAGAGACACAACCATTTATGTAATTGCTGGTCATTAAGATATGGATACACTTTCAGTGTTCAGCCCCACCCCTTAGGCCTTAGTACAGGTTTATAACATTGAAATACATGTATTTGATATTCCTGCAACCATACAACCAAACATGTGCGCTAACATGGCATAAAGAAACAAACACAATCATGTCACAGTATATCTAAAAATATACAACAACATTTGATATAGCGCCCTATCTAGCTAACATAAGCCATTCTAAAGCGCTTTCAAATACATCTATATACAATTAATACAATTAGCATATTTACATTAGTCAATACAATGTTAAGGAATTCGCAGTATTTGCCTTATCAGGCGCTACTAGTCCTTTGCCACCTGACTAATATCTCCCTATGTGTGTATGCGTGTGTGCTGGAGATATGATGTGTTCAGTTTGTAGTGGGACCGTGCTTCCAACGGCATCATTTATAGTGCCACCTCACTTGAATGCTACAGCAAAGATACTACAACATACAAGTGTGGGCAAGAGAAAAACACCTCTGAATATCCATGCGTCCGACGACTTCGGGGATCGAAACCCGGCCGCTTGCGTGGAAGGCCGAAATGTTAACCACTCGACCAATTCGCCCAGATTTTTTTTATCCTTACGGACGAATACATAACTTATAAAGAAAAAAATATCAACGACTCTTTAGTACTTTTATCTCGTCAAGGAGATTCTTCAAACTCGCCATAGCGATATCACAGCAAAAGAAATACATAATGGTGGACCTAAGGTAAAGCGTACTATTTGTTTAGGATTTAGAATTGCTATATATACTATTATTTATGAGTAAAGAAAATCCCTGTGTGGGACGAACTCGGGAGCATTACATCACTACAACGGAGGGGAGCGTAAATTTACAAGTATAACTCTTCTGTTGACTAAGAAAAAACGATAAAAAACACCGATCGGAACTCGGTGTAAACGTTACATGAAGTTAGAACATCATACAATATTAGTCAAACAGTACTGTTCAAACGGGGTCTAAGAAGTCTGATGTGATAACGTCTGCATTGTTCATTTGATAAATAGGAAATATTTTAAATTTGTCATCAGCACAAGCGTGTATGTGTTTACTAACTAGTAAAAATCTTAAGCTGTCTGTTCGTATTTGCTGTCTATGTACAGTCGTCCTTGTTCGTAGCTCACCGTCCGTTTGGCCGATATAGATTTCGGAACAATTGTTACAAATCAATGCGTAAATTACATTACTAAACTTACAATTCATATGTTTTTTGACCTGAAAGTTAAAATCATTTTTGAACTTAACATCACTTACTTCTATAATAAGGTTACAAGTACCAAAACGAGGTGTATTACATTTTGATACACATGCATGTTAGTGAGAATGAACGTTAAGATGATTACTTTCAAACCTTGATGTAGTTAGAATACGCTTCAGACTTTTAGTTTGTCTTTTATACAAATAACACAATAAATACGGTTATTTAAATATACAAAAGGTTTGCACTGGATACTTTTGATTTTTCTTTGACGTTCTTAGTTATTGTTAATAATTGTCAATGGCACTTTCTAAATCGAAGGTTGGTGTCGTTAGGTTACCGTAAATCCTTCTGAAATATAGCCAACATGCGCAGCTTCCTGCGCAGTGGGGCTAAATTTGAGAAGGATGGACCCACCTTAAAGCACAACGATCCAAAACTTTTTTCATACGTTCGCTGCCTCGTTTCAAATCTTCACATCTGTTCCG